AAGACTTTTCTATGAAAACGCGTACCCAACTAGCTTAGCAGTAGCTCAAAAGCAATTTTCAGAAGCATCTTCCTCCTACATTTGGAGAGATTAAAAAAAGACAGTTTCCACATCCATCTCTAGAGGACAGTGACACTCTTCTAGGCTTAAAGCAACTCACAAGGACTATACTGACATTTTAGACAGTTTAAGTTAAAACAGCAACAATCTAAATATGCTTAGTTGGTGAACAATACCACTTTTCTCATTCACATCAAGAAAAACTTCAGGTGCAATACAGAGACTAACTTTCTGACATCTGATTCTACCAAAAAGTATTGGCAGAAAACAAAAAAGAGGAATATAGCCCTTTGCTTGTTAAAAATAGAGAAGTGAGTGGTGGTAAAGAGAGCTAGCAACCTGCCTTTCCTCAGCAGTCCTACTGATAAACAAGGGGACAAGCACAGGACAACTGGTTGTAGATGGTCGTGCAAAGACCTACTGCAGGTAGACAGAATCTGTTCTCGCTATTCGCATTGTCCACAACAACAACGATGAGAAGATAAGAAAAGAAAAGAGAATATTGTAGGCAGCAGTGGGTTTCCACAAGCAAATCCAGGTGATTCTGTCCTGGTAAGGTCTCACTGATACTTTTGCTTTAATTTAGGAGCACTCTTTTGAAGAGGTTAAGACTAAATCCTCTATCATCAGGTACTTACGTAGTCATCCTCATGCAGACCTTGCTTCTGAACAGAACTTTTCACCTCCAGGGAAAACTTCTCAAACTCAGGCTTCACAGTCCTCAGCAGAGTGACAGTTTGGAGGTATGAGTATGCCTTCTTGGCCTCAAGGTCATATTTGTCTCCTCTTCTCCAAGACCCATTTCCTAAGGGGTAAACAAGCACATTTCCAACTCCAAATTAGGTACTATTATAGGACTGCCTTCCTTTTTCCACCCAGAAGTCCCTTCTCCTGCACCTTGGGGGGATAGCAGAGTACAAGGGAGCACTGAACATGCTCCAAGACGTGCATGAAAATGCACAGGGAGGAATGTCTGGTAGGAAGTAAATGTGCAAACAGAAGGACAACTTTACTCCCATGCTGTACTTGCTTACTTTTAAGGGGTGGGAGGAAGACTAAGCACGAGGAGACACCCTGGAGAAACAAAAAACATGAACCGATCTTGAACACAGAGATATTTTAAGTTAGAGCAAGTGGGGAATAATTTGACCACAAAGTTTCTGTTACACATCAGTCCACCAGTGACACTCTTGGACAGTCAGAAAGGCACCAGTAAAGTCAGTGGAATGATCATCTCCCTGAATACAAGGCAGATGGTGCAGCTACTTCTCCCACAGCTCTCCCAGCACAGCCAAGAAGAAAACCATGTGTGCAGTGGCTGCCAGACCAGCCCTGCTCATAGTGGGAAACACATACTTGCAGAAAAAAAAACAAAAAAGATGGATCCTGTGCCTATGCTGTGTTTACATGTTTTGTGTCACAGCAAGGGAACTATTTAACTCGGACCACCAGTAAAGTAAACAGATTTTTAAAAAAGAAGATAACTATAGCTGATTGGTTGCTACTTAGCTGAGGAGTCTCCCTGCTTAACATGGCCTGACCTTAGCAGGTCCTGAGACCCTGATCCAAAGCGTCGTGAGATCAGTGGGAAGGTTCACATTGCCTTGGACCAGGTTTTGCACTATTTTATGTAAATGAAAAATGGAAAGAGGCCTGCAGGGAACAGTGGTAGCCCTAAGCAGTGTGCCTTTAACTGATTACAAATAATTAAAAGCTAAACAGTCATATTATTTTTTGAACAATAGCAACAAACCCCATCATGGCTAAATGAGCCAAGCCAGAGACTAACACTAAGCTCCCAAGGGCAACCTGAAAGCAACATGGGAGATGAGCGAGGATGTGGCTGCTTCCTGGGTTGAGGACCACGGTGTTCAGATCAAGAGAAGCAAGCAGTTTGGAGATGCTAATGGGAGATGGAGTCCAGGGCATCAAACCTGTGGTGCCCTTTGCACAGCACTACCAGCTGCATCACATGCCTGCAAAAGCAAATTCTTGGACAGAGCACCTCAGTGCCCCCAAAGCAGGTGAATAAAGAGTTCTATATGGGTAGTACGGACAAAATTAATACACTGTGCCCTTCCAGTACTCCAGCACTGCTGCCAGGATATTCTTTTCCCCCCTTTTTTTTCTTGACAATAAACGTAACTGGACAATTGATCTGCATGCTCAGAGAGCACAGGGAAGAAACAAGGACCTGCATTTCTCCAGATTACAAGACTTTCCTCCTCCTGCTGCTTTTGGCTCCGGAGTGGCTGGGGTCACTCCCAGCACAGGCCGGGTGGCACAGGACCACCTGAGCCCTGCTACCTCTCTTTTCCACCCCAGGAAAGCCTTATTTACCACAGCTCATCACCAGCTAGGACTGTAACCTTTATAAATACCAGGAATTTTGCAAATTCTTATTTTTTTTAAAGTAACTTCATTCTCCTAGGAAGAAGCTCTAGATACATCTACCTTTGTTTAGGGATTTTGTTTCTATACAAAGTTTAACTGTTCAAAATTACTCCTGCCAGGACCCTATTCATCTGACGTGGTGGAAACACTAAAAAGCAACTAATATCTGACCATCTGGTTCTGCCCTCAGAGGGAGCACTCTTCCCTTCAGCACCTGCACCCTGTCCTTATTACCACTTTTGAAAAGAAATGCACATCTGCAAGTATAAACTAATCTTACTAGCTCCCCCACAAGAGGGTACATGTCCTCCTGGAGCCTCAAAGCTGCAGAGACTCTGCCCCAGCTGGGTACCTGCATTTCAGAGGTGCAGTATTCAAGTAGCACAGCTAAAACCACTGAGATTACAGACCCCATCAAAAATGGTAGTGCTGGTACAATGTGAATAAGTTTCTGTCCTGGACATTGGACGAACTTATTTTTAAAAGTCTTGACACTGGGTGCAAGGAAGGTACACTTGCATAACAGTGTTCTTAGAATTATTTACATATTTAAATTCCTTCATGGATTATTTTGTGGGAAGTCATCTTGCCACAGTACTTATGTGCAATTATTGCAGCTTTGGCATTTAGTACGTCTGCTCCTCCGAAAAATGAAAAATATTCAGAACAAAGGGCAACAACAAACTGCAATATGGTCATCTGAACATAACGTCTTAGTGCCAATTTGCCAATCATACCCACTTTTTGTACCTTAAAAAAAAAAAGTACAAAATCTATTACCTCCAGGCACTGGGAACAAGGAATTTTGAGAGAATTTCTCCACATTTCTCCATTATGCTTGTATTCTACCTGTGATGACCACCTACAGAGAAGTCAACTTCTGAGGCACAATCATTTCACTCTTATGGGAAACACATCCACAAAGAAACAGAAAAATTGATTTAGAAGAACTATTACTTAGAAATGTCAGGAAATGTCACATTCTAACAACACTACATCACAAGACAGTTTTCATTAATCCCTTGGAAAAGTTAGAAGACTGGGCTACCTGTGATGCAAAGCAGGATGGTGCTGAGGCCCTTAGGGCTGCTGCCCCCACCCCCGCGTGGCACGGAGGTCCCACGGCAGGACGGCAGAGCGCTGCCCCGCAGACAGCTGAGGAAAGTGCCATCTGCTGGGGGCTGCACCACCTCACACCAGCCTCGATGCCGGGTCCCTCCTGGGGCAGGGCGCTGAGCCTGGGGATCGCAACACTGCCTCCTGCAACTACCGCTGCCTCCTAGCAAAGGCCACTCTGGAAAGCAAAACCATCCCAAAATGCAGCAGCCCATCTCCTGGAGCCACTGGTCTTACATGAGCATTCCCTGCTCAAGGAGAACTTCGGGTACCAACTGTCCTAGCCAGCATCAGAGCTTCCCAGGTAGTCACCCCGCACTCACTTCAGCCCAGACAAGGAAACCCTCAGTTGTAGGGGATGATTGATACGAGCCACTGCAGACACCTACAGATGAGGTGAAGTGCTGTCCCAGCATGCCCACTTCCTTCCAGAGGCTCCAAAGGGAGCCCAGCTCACACAGACATGTACCTATGGCCAGAAGGACTGTGTATGACACACTTCTACCCTGCCAGATGAAACGCACCAGTGGTGCAGCCGTAACGAGCCACTGCCAGCAGCCAGAGGGGTTATTTGATCAGTGGTTTCTAGTAAAATCCACCCTGCAAAGCTCCCAGGGTCTACAGAAGGGCCAAAACGTCAAAGTTTTGTGACTGCTGATGTGCATAGACATTCAGCTTCTTGCTCTGGTCCTGATTCAGGCTGCAATGTCAAATGGTTTTGCTTATGCCACAAGGGATGAAGTCCCTCCAAATTCAGCTCAAGAAAAAGAAAAACTTGAATAAAACCATCGGCTTTGATCTTGTTATATAACTTTATCTTTTAGTTACTTAAGTGATTTCCTTATTATGTGGCACAACCTGGCACTTATTTAGCTAACAAAGATGATACATGTAGCAGTGCGTGTACCTCTGTAGGTATCTGCATCTCTCAAACAGCTATATACCTCCACTATGGAGCTTTCCAACGAAATGAGCTGTTTACTGTGAACTGATTTCAGAGACGGAAGATGGATAACAAAGTTATGCAAAAGAATTTAATTCACAATTAACCTATTTATTAAACAAAACAGATACTTTTGCAAATTCAGTTAATCCTTTTGGTCAGCTTTTTGAGGCTTGAAGAAAAAGAAAAAAAAAAAACAAGTTTTCCTTCTTTCTCAAGTCTCACTTGGTTTTCAGTTCAAAATGAAGTTATTATTGTAGTGGATTAGTTAAGGCAGCCTGCAGGGGGGAAATTAATTTCTCTGCACCTGCAAAAGAGGCTGTTCCTTTCAAAAGCCACACGGTCACTTCAGCAAAATCTAGTTCCCAGGCCTGAAGTCATCGCAGCTTCAGAGATCTGATGTTAAAAATTCAGCAATCCTGTTGCTCTGGTGTTACTTTAAATGAGACAGCTGCAACAGCTGGGAGCAGGCTTAATCCCTGCCATGCACTGCCATAATAGCAAACTTAACTGAATACAAGTATATTTCAAAAAGCATATTTATTTGATTTACATCTTTTAGTCATGTTTGAATTTGAGAAATCTGATCCTTTTTACTCAGAGGTGGAATCAGCCCCTTTACCCCCCTACTCTAGTAAATCTGAACTGTACCATCCAGCGCTTTCCCTTCAAGAGCACAGTAATGATTATTTTTGCAGAGGCAGTTTGTGATCAAAAGTTGAAACAAATTTCATGTGTGAATCCCCCAGCAGAAAGATGAATTCTGGAGACAGAAGCCCTGCAGCTGCCCACGGGCCTGTTCTTGTCAGTGCCTCCTTCCAGTCACCTGCACAAGCCAGAGGTCACCAGGGAAACGAGAGTACTACCCCTGCCCTGAGATTTGGCAGTCAAAAGGCTGGGGATGCTGCAGTCCAAGCCTTCTAGAGCTGAACACACACACTGCAGCACGGGGTACCCACACCTGGCTGCTAAAACCAATGTCTCTGGTGCTGCTTCCCCTACAAGCCACTAAAATAAGTAATGCCTATAGTGCATTTGGCATCTTGTGACCCACCCAGTGGCAACTACAGCCAGGAGGTCCATTTTATTTCCTGCAATACCATAGCACAAGAGGAAGGTAACTGCGACGATGGGGAGAGGCAGTGGTATATACTGTGACTCAGTGCTCTGTATTTTGAGGCTTACAAGTCTAAAAATATTTACCAGGCTTACAGAAGACTTTGCAACATACTTGGGCTGGAAAAACATTACCATATGATGAGCTGTTGAAGAGTTCAATATTGAAGAAAGCATAGTCCCCGTTGGTCATTCCTTGCCGATGAGCAGCCAACATGATGTTCCTGATTGTGTCACCACTGGCACACATGATTACAACTGGTGGAAGAAAATGAAAAACATTGATAAGAAGCAGTTCAAGAGCTTCAGGGAACAGCCTGTTAAGTATGAATGCTGCCAGAGACAGTGACCCCAGCTGTCCTCTCAGTGTTGCAACAAACATGAAAACACAGATAGCAAACAAAGCTCAGCTCCCAAACAGCTAACGGAAGACAGGTACCAAAAACAGAGAGGCTTCCTTCTCCCCTGTGTCCTCTGAAAAGAATTAAATAGAGCCTCTGTGTGATCCAAGTTTTTCTACCCCTACATGTGGCAAGTTCTGACTTCAATTTTCTTTAGCTGCATATATTCACAGAGTCGACTGCAACCATAAACCTCTGCTGCTACTTCTAAGTGGCATAAGACAACCTGAAGATGAAGAATTAAGGTGATACAATGGCACTACCATTTTAATTTCTATTCCATTGACAAGCTTGGTTTAAGTTCATCTCGCCTACACCTCAGCTATCTAAAGTTTAGGTATCTGGACTAGAATTTGTTGCCTGTCTACAGTTAACAGGGAGCAGCATCTCTTGCAGCTGTCTGTGGACAATGTTTTGAATCTCTCTAGAAACTATACAATAAGCCTAGGCAAAGACCTTTGATGGGATATGATGTTCAGAAATGGGAAAAGCAAGTGCTGCTTTCTGAGCTTGAACAAGTGTGGTTACAAGATTAAATCCTACAGAGCCTCGTCTATCGCAGACGAAGAGCTAAGCAGGGGCTTTGCTCCTACACCGGGACCTAGAAGGGACACCATCATCCACACTAGGACACTGTGGCTGAGAGGTCTCTTCCACAACCTGTTGGGCAAGGGGTACTACTTCCATTGCTACTCCCTCCCTCTGCAAAGGGAAAGCAGAAACTCAGGAATGGGGAGGTACATCCCCCCCCAGTCCCGACTGAGCACAGTATCCTATACACTTTTATATAGGTTCACAAGATTATGGGTATGAAACTACTGACATCAGAGGGAGCGGCAAGATATTGTACCAGAGCATGCTTCAGGGCTATATCCTACAGCAAAGCTGTAAGAGATCCTGTTGGGACAATGATTTGAAACCAACTGCACGCCTGTTTCCAAGAACACCGTCACGCAAGGCAGGGCTCAAAAGCTACAATAATGTACGCAACTATTTTCACCCCAACAATAAAACTGAATCAAAACCACATTCAGCTTTTCTGGGTAGAATTGTTTGCTATTATAAGAAATGAAAATGCCAAACAAGCCAAATCTTTTTGCACACAATGAATCTTCCCCCATCACTTTTCTGGTTGGATGCCATCACAGGCACAAAACTCCAGATGCGCGGCTGGGCTGAGTCACGTTCGGTACATCCCCACGCTTCAGGAGAGCTATACCACGCATAGCTCTGCTCTACTGATTGTAGCACAGTAATATAATAATTTCCAGAACAGCAGAGCAAGACATATTTCATGACCATTGTGAAGTATATTAGCATGAAGGGAAAGAAGAGGGAAAACAAAAAATTTCTTACAATAAAGTTTGGTTAAAATCTGTTCCAGATGCACATCAGGAATGAATTTGTCTCACTGTTCCTAACTTCGGCATAGGTGAGAGATTTCCTTTTGAAACATTTTCTTGCTGCCCTCTCAACTGTCCCTTGAGTTTGCCTGTAGAATTCACATCTATCATAAAATCATAATCTGTTGATGGAATCAAAGAGATTCCCACAACACCAGCAAAAGACCTTGTGCAAAAGGAATAAAAAGAGCGAGGGCGAAAACCCTACTTTAAAATACATTAAACTGTATTTTGTAAGCCTCCAAAGGAATGTAAGGAAAGTAATATTAACTATTTGGATGTGGTTTTTAACCCAGCAGGAGCACAAAGGTTACATATTTCAAGATCTTGAAGCAAATAAACTATGGGCATATCGCTTGTGAATCTTCCAAAAATGTAAACTATGTGTATTTAATCTGCATCCATACCTTAACTTACTATTGTGTACATACAAACGTGTACGTGCAAACACATACAACATGTTCTCCCTCCAGTATAATACACACAGACCACAGTAATTCTAATACTAATATTCTGAATTTATTCACTAGGATCATTGACTCAGCCTACAAACACGCAAGAGTTTAATTCCAGCTACAGGAGTAAACGTTCCCTTTGCTACGTGCATCCCTTGGGCTACAAGCTTATGCAGAACACATTTAAGCACAGTCCTCTGGGTTTGGGACTATTATGGCAAACCTGAGCCTACAGCATCAAGTCTGCAGCACAGCTAATCAATTCTACAAGGGAGCATAGAATTAATTAAATTCATTAAAGATGAGTGGTTAACTTTTACCATCACGTTTTTCGTCATGTCTTTGCCGTGGCTGCAAGACTGGAGTCTTTTGTAGCTGGTTCCAGGGACTGGACAGGCAGCTGTTGGCAAACATGGGTGCATGGCTGGGTGTGCCCCTGCATACTGGAACCCTGAGAGCTCAGAGCAAACCCCCAGCCAGCAACACACTAGCCCATGGAGCCAGCCTCTGCCCCAGGTCCCCACAGCCCTGCAGGTAGGGCAGCTTCTTTCTTAGACACCCAAGTTTCAGGCAGGTATCCTTAATGTGCTTGAAAGCCCATTGCCTCCTGAATGGCTCAAGGAAACCTGACCATTCAGGTAGAACTACACCAGTAGCAATCTGTGGAAACAGCAAAGATGCAGGGTCAGAACCCAGGACAGTGTCATGGTAGATGTGACACAGGAGCCCTTAAAAACTGGTGAGAAAAGCAATCAACCAAAAACGTCTCCAAGAAAGTGCATCGGACAGTGCCTCATCACCCACAAGCCATGCTGCCCTGGTGGGGGGACCTCCAAGGAGTCCCCAAGAGAACTGAAGACCTCATCTGGTCAGCTAAGGCACGTGGTGCATCCTTCACATGATACCTGAATTTTAAAATACTGTATCAACCTAAAAGATGCTGTGAGCAGCAGGACTACCTCTCAGACCCAAAGGAACATGCTATGCAAGTCCTGCAGTCAGTCTTTTAAGTCAGAAAAGCACAAGTGGAAGGTGAAGGGCCCCACTTGCTGCATTTCGCAGTAGAGGCATGAGCCAGAGGACAAATGAAGAGATGAGACACGAGGCTGTGATCCCACAGGGCACAAGTTGGGGAAACGAGCAAGACAGAGGGCTGCTTTTGTTCAGTCATCCGCAGGTCACAGACCTATGCAAGACGAAAGATCTGAGCTCAGCAAAGCACTTAAGCCCCGGCTGAAACCAAGCCTCTCTTCCCTGACTTTCAGCATGGTCTGAAGAGCGGGGCTGTCTACAGCTATCAGTCACATTCCCAAAGCACACCCAGAGCTCCCTATAGCCAAGGGTGAGCACTCGTCTTTTCCTGCCGTAAGCACTCCGGTATGCTCTTAGCATCAAGAAAGACACACACACACACTAAAGTTACACTGATTAAAAGAGTAAAGCAAAGCATCTTTCTCCACACAACAGTTTCCTCCTTCTTTCTCTCCACTTCCCTGAATGGTACTTAGTTTGAACGCTCTATTTTAAGCACCTGCTTTGGTGAATAGAGACTTAATGCCACTAGAACTTTGTTATCCCACACATGCTCCTACATGGATTTCAGAGCAGTGAGCAGTACGAGCAGTGCAAGGCTGCTCCATCCACAAACTACAGCACCTTCACACCAGCTGCACCAGTCATGCATATCATCATCTTTACCAGTCCAACTTTGATGCTATTTTAACATTCTACAACCAGGGATGTAAAAATTGCACATAGCAATTTGTACATCTACACCTCTTTTGGGAAACAGCTAAGGACTTTTTTTAACTTGATTCTGCGGTCCACTCCTGGAATACAGCTTTTCTCTTTTTGCAATAACTTACTGGGGAAGCCTATGGCTAGCAAAAGCCTCGAAGAGAAAACACATTTTAGATAAGCCCATGTGCCCACACACTGCTCAGCAGGATCTCACTTTAAACCACATCTGACTAAAAATTTGCATGTCCCGAAGCACTTTGAGCGTTTACTATTTCATGATGCAAAGCCAGTTCATCCAGCCCGGGGGTGACTTTCCAAGATGTTTTACAAGCCATTTATCTCCACGGTGTTTTGCTAGCAGCTGGTGGCAACATCACTGCACATCCCCCAAAATGACTGCTCCCCCTAAACGCATTTATTTACGAGGTCCTTGACAGGACCCCCACGGCAAGGCACAGCAGGGTCAGGGGAAAACACCTTTGCTCAGACTTTGAACTTGCAATGAGTTACTGCAACAACTTCAGAGAGTAAGCACGGCTGCTCCCCAGATGCGGGTGATTCTGGGTGACCCAGACTGGCACTGGAAAGCTGATTTCTTACTGTGCCACAAAACCAAAACCTTCCTAGCGTGATTCCCAAGGGCAAGTCCCCAACCCCGCTCCGGGAGATACTTTTGCGGGCACAGCTTTTGCTCGGGGCAGCTGGTCCCCGTCCGTCGTGGGCTGCCTGGCCCAGGGGGCGCCGGCACAGCACCACACTCAGCTTCCCCACCGGCGGGGATGCGGTAGGACCCCCCAGCCCTTGAAGACCTTCCCTTCCCGGTGCTCCCACCGCCCC